CCACACCCTCGTGTGCCGTGCCGGCCTTCATAGGTGTTCGCTAACGACATTTGCCCCAACATTTTGTTAAGGCTATATGGGGGATATTTGTCTTGGTGTGGTCAGGGACTGCAACTCCGATTAGCATTGTTGGCTGAGTATGGTGCGAAAGAAGTTCTACGTAAAGGACTCCTGTACTTACGAACATTTGACTTACGAACTTCCAGAGATACGAACAGACCTGTCCATATGTCATGTAGATGCCACATGAAGAACCGGTGGCATCTACATCTGCAGAACGTTAAGAACCAGTGGCATCTACATCTGCAGAACGTGAAGAACCAGTGGCATCTACATCTGCAGAACGTGAAGAACCAGTGGCATCTACATCTGCAGATCATGAAGAATCAGTGGCATCTACATCTGCAAAACTTGAAGAACCAGTGGCATCTACATCTGCAGATCATGAATAATCAGTGGCATCTACATCTGCAGAACATAACGAACCAATGGCATCTACATCTGCAGAACGTGAAGAACCAGTGGCATCTACATCTGCAGATCATGAAGAACCAGTGGCATCTACATCTGCAGATCATGAGGAACAGTGGCATCTACATCTGCAGAACATGAAGAACCAGTGGCGTCTACATCTGCAGAACGTGAAGAACCAGTGGCATCTACATCTGCAGATCATGAAGAACCAGTGGCATCTACATCTGCAGAACATGAAGAACCAGTGGCATCTACATCTGCAGATCATGAAGAACCAGTGGCATCTACATCTGCAGATCATGAAGAACCAGTGGCATGTACATCTGCAGAACATGAAGAACCAGTGGCATCTACATCTGCAGAACATGAAGAATCAGTGGCCTCTACATCTGCAGAACGTGAAGAACCAGTGGCATCTACATCTGCAGATCATGAAGAACCAGTGGCATCTACATCTGCAGATCATGAAGAACCAGTGGCATCTACATCTGCAGAACGTGAAGAACCAGTGGCGTCTACATCTGCAGAACATGAAGAACCAGTGGCATCTACATCTGCAGAACGTGAAGAACCAGTGGCATCTACATCTGCAGATCATGAAGAACCAGTGGCATCTACATCTGCAAAACTTGAAGAACCAGTGGCATCTACATCTGCAGAACGTGAAGAACCAGTGGCATCTACATCTGCAGAACGTGAAGAACCAGTGGCGTCTACATCTGCAGAACATAAGAACCAGTGGCCTCTACATCTGCAGATCATGAAGAACCAGTGGCATCTACATCTGCAAAACTTGAAGAACCAGTGGCATCTACATCTGCAAAACTTGAAGAACCAGTGGCATCTACATCTGCAGAACGTGAAGAACCAGTGGCGTCTACATCTGCAGAACATGAAGAACCAGTGGCATCTACATCTGCAGATCATGAAGAACCAGTGGCATCTACATCTGCAAAACTTGAAGAACCAGTGGCATCTACATCTGCAGAACGTGAAGAACCAGTGGCATCTACATCTGCAGATCATGAAGAATCAGTGGCATCTACATCTGCAGAACGTGAATAATCAGTGGCATCTACATCTGCAGATCATAAGAACCAGTGGCGTCTACATCTGCAGATCATGAAGAACCAGTGGCATCTACATCTGCAGAACGTGAAGAACCAGTGGCGTCTACATCTGCAGAACGTGAAGAATCAGTGGCATCTACATCTGCAGAACATAAGAACCAGTGGCGTCTACATCTGCAGGAGATTATACAACTTTTAAAGCCATTCCCCGTGTTTAGTGTCCACACCGTACAACGTGTTTGGAATCGACGAGAGCAAAACTGGACTTATGAACTCATCGACTTATGAACAGACCTCTGGAGCCTAAGTCGTGTGTAAGTAGAGGCCTCCCTGTACATACATACACATGCAGTCTTGCTATTTTGCTGCCTGTCCTCAGCTTGGGAATCGATATACTTATGCAATGTGAACTTATACTTGATCTATATCACGTATCTATTTTTAGTGATTTGCTTTCGTTTCCTGTACTTTGCATGACCATAGTGTGTTTGTATTGATTGTTGTTGTAACTTTCGATTGGACATCTGCGGGGGAAAAGAGCTTCATGGCTCATCGGATTTCTCCAGGATAAAAACAAAATTCTGATTCTGGTGTGAGCTAGTATTGATTGTTATGATGGTGTCAATGTGTGACTGGTCAGGTGGGTGATTGATGATAATGACGCTGATGCTGCTGATAAGTAGCTTAATAAATATCATCACTGCACACAACACAAACACGACACACAACATAACCAGCATGCTAACCCAATACATCATCGCCACACACACAACACAAAGACAACGATCCCCCGTATAGCCTTAACAGAATATAGGGGCAAGTGCTGTTAGCGAGCACCTATGAAGGCCGGCACGGCACACGAAGGGGTGGGTGGCCAGCACCACTCATTTGAGGCTGAGTCGATCTAGAAGAAGACCCAGAACCGGTTCGGATAATTCTCGCTAGAATCGAACTCGAGTCGCCGAGTTCGTAGCGCAGCGTAGCGCTAACCGCTGCACTACCGCTCCCCACAATGTTACCACGCACACACACAGAATATCACTACACAACCATCTCTACCCACAACAACACAAACACGACACAATCTCAACATATATTTGTATGTATCTCCAAAACCATAAACGCATAACCAGCGTCACTCACCCTTGTTTACTGTACACCGATATAGGCCTCTACCTGCACGCGAAATTACCTGTCCAGATGACACGGGCATCTCCGCTTTACCTGCCTTGCCCATACCTGTTCACAGCACACCTGTGTGCGCCCGTACCAGTTTCAACATTTACCGGCCCAGATTACAATCTGTCTCAGCTTTACCTGTATAAGTCTTCGCCTGCCTTGCCCATACCTGTTCACAGCACACCTGTATGGACCCGCATCTACAATCGCATTCACCTATCCATGCCATTCCTTTACCGGCACTTACATGTCCATGTCATAACTCTGTAAACACCTACCCCCGTCCCCTGCCTTACCCCTACCAGCATTTACCTGTGCATATTAGAATTGCCTCAATAGTATTAAAATATCTTCACCTACATTTGTCATAATCGTTCGCAGTACATCTTGCATGGGCCCGTGTCTCCGTAACAATGATTTACCTAGTAATAGGTTTTTACCCTTTCAACTGGTACAAAAAACTGACACCTTTATACAAGGCATCATGTTTGCAATAACCACAACACAAGCAGTCAAAATGCAAACAAAAAGAAACAACTCTGATGATGATAATGATTTGCACTGTCCTTGAAGTTGATTGGTCCACACCCGAGACAGCTTTTCTTAGAGCCTAGTCTCCATTGGTGTTGGACCAGATGACGCCAAAAGGCGTACAACTCAAAGACAGCGCACTATCAGAGTATTGAGAGCTCGGGGTAAGCATTTACACTATGAGACATCTCCTTTACCAGTGGCAAAATATAGTAATAGGTTTTTACCCTTTCAACTGGTACAAAAAACTGACACCTTTATACAAGGCATCATGTTTGCAATAACCACAACACAAGCAGTTAAAGGACAGTGCATATCATTCTCATCATCAGAGTTGTTTCTTTTTGTTTGCATTTTGACTGCTTGTGTTGTGGTTATTGCAAACATGATGCCTTGTATAAAGGTGTCAGTTTTTTGTACCAGTTGAAAGGGTAAAAACCTATGACTATATTTTGCCACTGGTAAAGGGGATGTCTCATAGTAGAATTATTTACCTATGCCGGGGACTTGCCTACGTTCAATGTTCATCTGTACACGTGGCGCATTGATGCAGCACACCTATGAATACCAGGTCAGGCCCCGCGGAGTTGTGTAGCCCGACCTGGCCCGCAGATGATATCTTAACAAAGTGGGTCATCATCATCACCACCACTATTTTGCTGTCTTTTCTCGGATTTTCTGTTTGCGCATAGTCACTTTAAGATGTTTTCTTGTTCATGTTTTTGTTTTTTGTTTGTTGCGGTTGCACCCGATTCAAGAGCCGAATGGCTCACAGGGCTATACCTAATAAATGCACTTTGAACGTGGAAATGTACAGCAGCCGCATAATCTAAACGCGTGACGCTGATTGTAAATGTGGAGGGGGAAATCGGAGGACCCGGAGAAAAATCCACGCGACCACGGGATGAAGAGAGAGAGAGACACTGCAAACTCCACTGATATAGCAGCAGGCGTCTGTCCCGTGACCCCCTGCCAGCAGCGAGCCTTCGACACTACGCACCTAGCCTGGCACAATCTCCATGGTGACGTCACCGCCACTTAGTGGTGAACGGGATAAACCGGAGGAAAATCCACGCCACCGCGGAGAGTGACGACGATGATGAGAAACGCAAACTCCAAATATACAGCAGTAGGCGTCAGGGTCGGAATCGAACCAACGACCTCCTGTGTACCAGGCGAGGTAGTTAACATCTCCTAGCCACCGTGATGATGATGAGAGAGGCGCAAACTCCAAATACACAGCAGCAGCCGTCACGGGGTCGGGATCGAACCCACGACCTCCTGTACACCAGGCGAGGTAGTTAACATCTCCTAGCCATCGTGATGATGATGAGAGACGCAAACTCCAAATATACAGCAGCAGGCGTCACGGGGTCGGGATCGAACCCACGACCTCCTTTATACCAAGCGATGTAGTTAACATCTGATAGCCACTGTGATGATGATGAGAGAGAGAGACACGCAAACTCCAAATATACAGCAGCAGGCGTCAGGGGGTCGGGATCGAACCCACGACCTCCTTTATACCAAGCGATGTAGTTAACATCTGATAGCCACTGTGATGATGATGAGAGAGAGACACGCAAACTCCAAATATACAGCAGCAGCAGGCGTCACGGGGTCGGGATCAAACCCACGACCTCCTGTACACCAGGCGAGGTAGTTAACATCTCCTCGCCACCGTGGCGTTTCGCAATCACCGCCACCACTAACACCACAACCACCACCACCACCACCGCCGCCTAC